TAGACACTCACTGGTGAGTTAGGTTATGTCTACACTACCGGGTTATTTCTAAATAAGTTATTCCAAAATAATAACTCCCCAAAATAACTATTTATTCCTCTTGGGGGCATCTACATAGCACCCGAAACTCAAAATAACGTCGTAATTGGAGCAAATTGTGTATCTTATTTGGATTGTATTTCAAAATAGCTTCTTTTGAAATTTGGCACGTCTACACAGCGCTAAATTTTGAACCCACATGCTATTTTGAGAAGAAGAGTTACAGGGAGAGTCCCACGAGAAGAGGGCAGCAAAAGCCATTTGCGCCTGGGCAGAATCCAGCCCCGAGGTCTCCACGTGTCTTGTCCCTTTAGGTAACAAGAGGAGCAATTTCTAAAGCGAGGCCCTAGGTGGGCAGATACACTGTGGAATAGCACGCCTGTTATTCTGAAGAATATTTTGAAATAACGCACGCGGTTCAAAGAGGCGGGGTAGCTATTTCGGGATCCCCACCGTTTAGCCGTACTCCTTCACAAGCAGGAGTTACTATTTCAAAATAACAGGCCTGGCAGTGTGGACACTTACCTTGTGATTTCGAAATAAGGGGAGTGACTTCGAAATAACTCCCCCGTGTAGACGCGATGAGCCAGCCTTTTGGCTTTCCTTCAGCTCTGTTGCTGCCTTCCTCTGCAGGGGCCAGTCGCAATGGGGGTGTCTTCTAATCCCCGAACCTAGGTACCCCCAAGACTGGACGCTTCGGAGATAACCAATCTCTCAGGACCAGGCTAAGACACTGACTCAGTAGCCAGAGAAAGAAGAAACCCGTGCATCTCAGAAACATTACAGCATTTGCCGCACCGCAGACCGAGGACGTGCAGACACAACTCCGGTCCAGACACTGGGCTCTTTATTTATTTATTTTCCCCTTTAAAAAATGGGATATTCCTAAGGAAAAGTCCCCCCCCCGCCACTCCTGCCGGGGTCTGACGTTTGGCTTCAGAGGAAAAGGGTTTCTTTGAAAGTTCCCTGGATTCTGCCATCAGAACCCACATACTGGAGTAAAGCCGGAGGCCAGGGCCTTGTGCTGCTGCGCAGCCCTTTGCACCAGTGCAAAGCGGGCGTGAAACGCCGCTACTCGTGACTGCGCCCTGGTGCAAACAATGGTGTCGAAGCCTCTCCTTTGCCAGACCTTTAACATTTCCTTGACAATGGGGACCAAGCATGCCCCCCCCCCTTGGTAAATCACAATGGAACGGTCTGTTGCGCCAGGCATCCTCCTCAAAGAACGTTCATCCAGAGGAGGCCTGTGATTGGCTGAGCATCCCCTGAGTGTCTTATTATTCAAATCAGAGCTGGGTTGAGACCATTCACAAAACCCAGAGAGGGGGGGTGAGCAGCAGGACAGAGAGGGCTACCCCCGTGATGTTGCCTTGTGTCAACGACCTCACCGGTGCTAGGATTCGGAATAAAAACGAGCCAGAGGGCGCCAGATCGCTGGGCGGTGTGGCCTGGAGGGGGAACTCGTCCACTGGGGCAGAACCAGCCCCCTTAGCCCTCAACCTCACCCCAGCCCCTCGGCCTTTGGGAGGGTCCACATGCAATCACGACCCGGAGTTTCCAATGCTACGAGGGGCCATGCGGACACCCCCGGGCCCTGCTGGAGAAGCCGCCCCCCAGCTTGGGCTGGCTG